TATTTTAACTCTTCCATTAATAAGTATTTTAACTCTTCCATTAATAACTGGTTTAACTCTACCATTAATAACTGGTTTAAGCTATTTCACCAGTGACTCAAACCATTTCATCACTGTTTCCTCATCAAGTCTTTTAAATTATTTCCTTATTCCACTAAACCATTTCATTCTTTCAAACCATTTCACCCCATTCCAAATGCAGCAGAAAAATGAGGGGATTTACTCCTTTATTTATGGGTGTATTCACCTCCTCTGCCATAAACCTGATTTTCAGTGGCTGCTCCGGGTGATGATTCGAGGCCGGCACAGGGATATCCCGCAATGTTTTCCACCTCAGTTTTTGCCTTTTTCCCCCATAAAATCAGGGAAAAAAGCAGCTGCTTGGCCCAGCTCAGCTCCAAGAGCTCCTTCCCACGTGTGTGGCTCTGATTGCTTTGATTCAGGGCCCTCGAATCAGCAGGAGCTGAGGCTCCTCCAGGGCCATTTATCTTCCCGGGAGAACAATTCCCGATGCGCACAATGGCCCCGTGATTGCCAACCTCGATTGCCAACCCCTGCTCCTCCTCAAACACCAAAATCTGTCCTTTGCCAGCATTTCACCTCTTCAACCCCCCCAAATCTGTCCTTTGCCACCATTTCATCTCTTCAACCCCCCAAATCTGTCCTTTGCCATCATTTCACCCCTTTATTCCCACTGCAATCAGGGAGGGGGAGGCACATTTTAAGCCCAGCTCAGGAAGTCGCATCCCAGGGTCGACACTGAGAGGGAAAATAGGAAATTGTAAAGGAAACAAGTGGTGAAGCTGCTGCTGGAGTTTGATTTTCTCTTGCTGGGGCTGATATTGGAAAGAGCAGTGTAAGTATATATTTAGATATAAATAAAAACAAAAATAAAAATAAAAAATAAATAAAAATAAAAATAAATGTGTGGGTTAAATATTTTATCTATTTTGACATATTATTTTTGTATTTACGATTCTATGATTTCTATATTTATATTTTAGATCTATGTTTATTATAGTTTTATATTTATATTTATAAAACTATAACATATATAAATATCATAATATCAAAAATAACTAAATAGACAATATAAAACTAAAATATATATTTGTATATTTATATTTGTGTATTTTCTATTTATATATTTTGATATTTTCTTATATATTTTCCATTTATATATTTTGAGATTTTCTTTTTATATTTTCCATTTATATATTTTGAGATTTT